AGTTTTGCTACATTCACTGTGTCGTCTGTGTTGTCTTATATCTCACTGAGTTTCCTTAATATTTTTACTTGGAATTCCATTCAAGGGTTTCTTTCTCTGTGGGGTCTGGTACTTGAGTGTTATTTTATTCCTTTGGTGGACTCATTTTCTTGTTTTTTCATATTTCTAGTATATCTATATTGATGTCTGGTCATCTGGTAGAGCAGTTGTTTCTTTTACTCTCCTTCCCTGAATTCTGCTTTTGTGTCAATGCCGTTGAGTCATTGGTGGTCTGCCTGCACAGTGGCAGTGGCTGCTGTAGCTGCTGCTATGGTAGTGGGACACCCTTGGGGCAACAGTGGTTGTGGAAGTGGCTTTATCAGGCTGCCTGCATGGCTGTAGTGGCTGCTTGGTGGCACTGTTGGTGATGGTAAGTATAGCAGTGGTAGTTGTAGCAGCACTTGCTTGGCTGCAGTGTCCACACCAGTGGCTCATGCAGCTATGCTGTCTGAAGCAGCAGTGGGGTTACCTTGCATTGGTAGCAGTGCTGTTGGGGACTGCAACTGCCTCCTCTGAATCTGTGCTGTCCTAAGCATCAGTGAGTTTATCTTGCGGGGGTGGGAGGAACACCATTGGCTACAACTTCCTCCCTCACATTTATGGTGTCCACAGTTGGGTTACCTTGTGGGGGAGGCAGAAGCACCCATGGCTGTGACTACCTCCCTCACATCTGCAGTGTCCTTGGTGGCAGTGAGGTTATGTCATAGTGGTGGCAGTGGTGCCGGCATCTGCAGCTCTCTCCCTCACATCTGCAGTGGACTTTGCAGCAGCGGGGTTAACTCACAGCAGTGGCAAAGGTAGTGGTTGCTGCAGCTGCTTCCCTCACATCTGCGGATTCCACAGCTTCAATGACAGGCAACCCACAAGACTAGTGCTCTGCAGGGAGGTAGATGAGTAATGGGAAACAACTTGGGACTGGGCAATGGCTTTGATGACTCTGGCAGTGGTGTCGGTGTGCTGTTTCCATCTTCTTTGTGGGATGAATATCCCCTGGTTACCTCCAGTCTGCCATCTTCCTAGAAGTACTACCCAATTTTAAAACTTACAATAAAACTGTAATAACAGAGACAGTGTATTAGTAATACAAAGATAGACACTAAGATCAATGGAACTCAGTTGAGGAAAGAAAGCCTCATATTTATGGAAAATTGATTTTTTGGCAGAGATGCTATTGCAATTCAGTCCTTTGGTCCTTTCAACAAATTGTCCTACAGCAATTCTATAATCATATGAAAAAAAATGAACTCATACCCTAGTGACACACTTCAAAGAAAAATTCACTCAAAACAAATCATAAAAATAAATGTAAGAGTCTAACTGTACAACATAGAAGAAACATTTTGTGACCTTGGATTAGGCAGAGATTTTATTATACAAAATATGATATACTAAAGAAAAGTATTTTTAAAAATCTTGTCTGTAATAAAAAAATCGATTTTCAAGAGACATCATTTAGTGAACGAAAAGACAAGTCATAAATTAGGAGAAAACATTTACAAGCATATATGTGATAAAGAACATCTATGCAGTATACATAATAATATGATTATTATCAGTAATAAGACAAATAATGTATTTTTTTAAGTTGTCATATATTTTAAAAGACATTTTTGCCAAGTAGGACATGCAAGTGTTTAATGATCACTTAAAATGTTGCAGTAGGGAAATGCAATTTAAACCACAGCATGGTGCCATTTTACACCCAGTAGAATGTTTATAATGAAATAGACTAATAGTGCCAGGTGATGCTGAGGATATGAAGATAGTGGAAAAATCATATTAGTGAGAATGATAGCTTTGGCAGTTTCTTAAAAGGTTTAGCATAGATTCTCTAATCACCCAGCAATTCTGCTCCCACGTTATCAACCAAGGAGAAATGTAAGCATACATATAAGCATGAGACTGGTACACTAATATTCACAGCAGCATTATTTATATTGCAAAAAATAGAACAATCCCAATGTGCACCAAGTAGTAAAAAGATAAATATAATATGATATATCCTTACAAGCAAGTATTTTTCAGCATCAAAAAGGAATGCACTTCTAATGCATGCTACAATGTGGATGAAACACACAAGAAAATTCATGCTGAGTGAGTGATGCCAGACACATAAGACTACAGATTGTATGATTCTATTTATATTAAAAAAATCCCAGAATGACAAATATGTGAGACAGAATGTAGGTCACTGGTTGCCTGGAGTTGTGAGGGGTAGTGAGGATTAACTGGAAACAAACAAAAAGGAACTTTTGGTGGTGATAGAAATATTTGTAACTGGATCATGGTTATATTAGCACAACTCTATACACTTATTTACAACAATTAACTTTGTGAACATAACCTAAGAACTGCATCTAAATGGTATGTTTGCATAACTCTTCAAATTTACTAAAATCAATTTTCTTCAATTCATATACATACAATAAGTGAATTGTATGCATTATACTTCAATAAAACTGTTAAAAATCATCATGTAGGGATATTTACCATTAGGGATTGTTGATGTTAGAGCTAAATCCCAATTTATTCAGCCATTATAAAATCTATATCGTCATTAATTATCATACATATACTAAAATATTTAAATGTAGTTAAATTTTCTGTAATGAAATATGAACTAAATATCTCTTGATGCTCATGAAGTTTAACATCGCTTGGTGCTTATGCAGTTTTGAGTAGTAGTTGGGAGTGTGGTCTTCAGAGTAAAACTTCTGGTTTAAATCCCAGCTCTGTCATTTCATTTATTAGCCAGAAGACTTTGGCAATTAATCTTCTCAAGTCTCTATTACTTATGTGTAAAATTGGCTTAAATTGCACAAGTCATTTTCAATGGGGTTAAAAGAACAACGGAATTGTTATGATTATACAACAAATTAATGTCTATAAATTGTTTAGCACACTGCCAGGAATAGTGTACATCAAAGAAATTATAAGCCGCAGATTGAATCTTTCCCATTTTTACTACTTTTTTAAAATAAGTATTTTTACATAAATTGACTAACAATTAGAATTAGATTCTTTGTTTCAAAGCTGTGGTCTTAATAAATCACATATAATTTTGATTCTTACACTTTTCATGATACTTTCCTGTTTTAGGATTTGTGATGCTATTTGACCCTAGTCTAGTAATTGCTTCAACTTTACTTGTTCATGAACCATAATTTTATTCTTGTCATTTGCTCAAGGTCTTTGTGGTTGGTCACTGTAATTATAAGTAGGTTACAATGAAGAGTGTCAGTCTCTAGTGAACATCAAATGACACTAAGCCTCAGGGGAGTTTTATAAGTCTGATATGTTGGCTTCTGATTTTTTTTCCCTTTCCTCTGCGGTTAATATGACCCAGTCAAAATTCAGAAATGACATACAATCTCCTTGTGACATACTTCTCGTCACTGTAATATGATGCTCTTTGCATTATATCTTTCTTGTTATACGTGGTCCTTAAGAGATGTTTATGTTATAAATCATAGATACACTGTAGAGCATATTATACTATAAAATGTTCATGCACTCCACCTTGCATTTTATTGTGCACCTAGGAATATATGTGGGACTTAGGCAAGGTGATTATTCAACTTATACAAGACAGGTTTCCCCTGAATTTCCATTTTCTAATCAACTGGAAGAAAGATTAGCATAAAAAGTGGACTGAATATGTCAACATTAAGGCAATATGAAGGATATTCCAATTAAATTTTTTTTCGTGTCTGTGAATCTGATTTCATTTTGTAGAATTACATTTCCTTTCTTCTATCATAATTATTATGAATGAAGATTTAGTGCCTATACCTGAAGAAACTCTTCAACTGGAACCTGCTTATGAGTAAAGCAAACTTACCCCTAGAATGTCAATATATCTTTTCCAGTATAGTTCTTTAATTATTTATCAAAATTCATCCCCAAGGTTCAATGTCATAATCCCCTGTGAAGCTTATTAAACTAAAAATTTATTGACCTTTGCCTTATGATTATGATTTGATAATTCTGAGATATAGCCTTATAAACTGTATATATTCAAATTTGCACAATAGATTTAAGTGTACACTCGCTGATCAAGAACAATCAGAAAGCAGAACAAAATTTTTATAAAAACACTTAAATTTTTCTTCTAATGATGAAAAAAACCTCTACAAACTTAGCCCATTATCAAAATAGAAGATTTTAGGATTTTACAAACAAAATAATGATATTTAGAGTAAGGAGAAAGAAAAACCTTTACAGGATCTAAGTTTATTATTCAAATCTAGCATGAAAGCATGTGATGATGGTACTCTGTGTCTTTCATTTAAAAATCATATAAATCATAATAATTGAAATAAAATAATTTCAATTATATTGAGGGTAGCATTAGAATTTAAATTTATTGATAGTATACATTTATTCATTCATATAATATTTAAAAAAGAACTGCGGAGTTTTATTTTAAACATAATTACCAGTTCAATATTGGTAACCTGGCTGTGAAAAGCATCTTAGCCATGTGTAATTACAGTTTTTCAAGATACAATGATTCACAACACCCATCCACACTCAAGAAGAAACAAAAAAGGAAGCCACAGAATAAGAGAGTTTTACTGTATTACTCATTCATATCTTGCTTCATTTAAACATATTTAGCTTTCTTTTTTAAAAAAACATATATATTTTTTGATTCATGGAAACATTTCTTCCAAATTAGCAACCTGCTTACTCCTCAGCAAAACTGGTGAATGACATCCTTGTTTCTATATTAACTTCACAACTCAGAGAGCTTCTGTTTATGTATTCATTCAATAATCCCCTAACCTTAACTTCTTTTAAAACAATATGCTAATCGTAATTTTTTTTAGAAATAAAATAAAAAGATAAAAGCTTTAAAAAATTAAAAACCAACATTGCTTGAAAATCTGTAAGTCAGCCACCTGACCTTCACTTTCTCTGCTGTAATTGCAGCCTATCTCAACCTTCTCTTCATTGACCTACTGAATTCTGAAACTACATAGATTAAAGGAATAGCATGGATCTGTCATGAATCTCTTTAAGGCAGCCTTCACTTCCTTATTGCGCAGGCTGTAGATCATGGGATTAAGCATAGGGATCCCCAGTGTGTAAAACACAGAAGCAATTTTATCAGTATCTAATGAATGGTTAGTTCGAGGCTGCACATACATGAATAGTAGTGTCCCATAAAAAACTGTGACTGCTGTCACATGTGAAGGACATGTCGAAAAGGCTTTTTTCCTCCCTTCTGATGAACGTATCTTTAGAATGGACAGAACAATGTTGAAATAAGATACTAGAACTATAATCAGAGAAGAAACCAAATTTGTAGCTGCAGATATAAAGACTATTGTTTCTGGAATGTAAGTATCAGAGCAAGACAATGCTAACAGAGGCACATTATCACAGTAGAAATGATTGATTACATTGGAAGAGCAGTAAGACATGGAGAATACACAAGGTGAAACCACGATAGCTGTGGAAAAGCCATAGAGGTATGTGAGGATTACCAGCAGAAGGCAGATCCGCCAAGATACCACCAACGTGTAAAGCAGGGGATTACAAATGGCTACATAGCGGTCATAGGCCATCACAGCAAGCATTGTAACCTCAGCTACAGTGAAAAACAAGAATGCTCCAAATTGGGTGGCACATTCATAGTATGAGATGGTTTTCTTCTTTACTAATAAACTGGTCAGCATTTTAGGGGCAATGACAGTAGAGTTGCCGAGATTGATGACAGCCAATTGTCGAAGGAAAAAATACATGGGGGTTTGAAGTCGAGAGTCAACACTGGTGAGGGTGATGATTCCGAGGTTCCCTGTCACGGTCAGGCCATAGATCACCAGAAAGACGAGGAAGAGGGGAATCTGGAGCTCTGGACAGTCTGAGACACCTGTGAGAATGAACTCAGTGACCCCAGTGAAATTTCCGGAAGCCATGCGGGAGTTTGAAAATTCATCTATCTGAGGAACAAAGGGAGAAGTTGTTACAAACTTTAAAGAATTACTTTCTTGGACTGTCATTAGATGACAAGGGTGATTCCTTGGGTGAGGTATCCTTGACTTACATATTAAAGTAGCTCAGTTATTCAACTCAAGGTTCTAAGTCTAATAAACAAATTTGCAATTGTTTGTGAGACAGAAAAACAGGTATGGTAAATTAAATAGATGGTCCAGCATCAGATGACATTTGAGAGATTACTTTCTCACAATCTTATTAAATCATAAATATGTTCTTAGCTTGTAAACATTTGAAGCCACAATTTATAACTTTTGTCTTTTGCATTGAATGTGAGAAAGAATTGAGTAGTCAAATTTCCACAAATAATCAATGACTCCTTGCAATTTCATTTCTTTTTCCTATGTTTTCTTAAGAATAAATGATTCCAGGCACTATCCTGACCAGTTTCTTTACACTTTATTTTTAATAATGTATATTAGATGCACATTTAACTTCCACATTCTACCATCCATGTCTGTTAAGTTTTGTTTTCTCATTTTCCATTTTATTAACTGAAACAAAAATACACAAAAATATGTCCTCAGATCTATTTTTCAGGTTACTGATTCTCTTTTCAGCTTTAAAAGATATCAGTGAAAATTTTATCATTTTAAATTCCTTGACCTTATGGTTACTGGATCTAAAGTTTACTATTTCCTGCCTTTTTCCTCTCACTTTTTTTCTTCTTGCCTCACAAGCTTGTAAATTGTTATATGTTTTCTATTGCATTCTTCATTTAATCATAATTTTATTTATAAAATTTTATAATATTTTATATCTTACAAAATATATCTGCTTTTATTTTATTTTATCTTTTCTATTGATCCTTTTTTACATTTTTCATATTTTTATTATTGTAATAATAATAAGAATCCATGTTTTATTCTGCTTTTATTTTATTTTATCTTTTCTATTGATCCTTTTTTACATTTTTCATATTTTTATTATTGTAATAATAATAAAAATCCATGTTTTATTGAGTTTCTACAATAATTAAAATTAATATATTCGCTATGGAATTCTACATTCTTTTAATATGACTGAATATTTTCTTAGAATTGCTCATTTTGAGGATTACTTGCCTGCCCTAACTATTAGAATCCCTCGACTGTGACAATCGATAGTTCCAGCAGTAGACGCTTTACCTGAAGAAGTCCTGTTCTAGTCCCTTCCCTAATACTTTGGAGTGAAGTTTCAGAGAATACAGACTATATCATCACACATGTGTGAATTTTAAAAGCCCAGAGATACTGACATTTTTTCTCCTTTTAAAAAGGATAGAATAGAAAGAAAACATTAAAAAAACATATTTCACAGTAAGAAATAAGGATGAAATGGCAATGCAAAAAGAATCAGAGAAATAAGACCAATACAATTCCTAACATTGTCAAATAAATATCATTGAGTTTTCAATTTCTTGGTTTGCAATTTTCAGTATTCAACTTTCAATTGATTCAACTGCTTGGTTTGCAATTTTCAGTATTCTGTTTGTTTGTTTCTGTCACTTAGTATCAATCTTTTCTTTGGTTTCTTTGAATCATCTTCTTATTTGCCACATATTTAATTTCTACTCTGTGCCAGGCAATGATCAGGTATCTGATAAATAACTTTTTCCTCACCTCAATGGACATGGTATTCCAGTGATAGAGAAAATACAAAAATCTGTTAAAGAAACGTGTAAGCAGGATAATTGCAAATTGAAACAAGTATAATTAGTCAACTAAACAATAAAATACACTAGGATAACCTGGAAGAATAACTTCACATGAAGTGATAAGGGAAGACCTTCACGAGAGAGTGACATTTGGATTGAAACCTAAAGGATCAGAAATAACCAGGAATATAATGAATCACAGGAATAATATTTCAGGATTCTAAGCAAAAGTGAATATGTTAAAAATGCTGCTCTGGGGCTGGCCCGGTGGTGCACTGGAGAGTGCGCTGCTTGGGAGTGTAGCGGCGCTCCCGCTGAGGGTTCGGATCCCATGTGGAGACCAGTTCCCACTCACTGGCTGAGCACGGTGCAGGCGCAACACTGAGGGTTGCGATCCCGTTGCCGGTCCCCGGTACGGGCGCGACACCGAGGGTTGCGATCCCGTTACCGGTCAGTAAAAAAGACAAAAAAGGAAAAAAAAAATGCTGCTTTGAGGTATAAAATGACTTTAAAAAATTAAGGTTTTTTTTTTTCTTTTTGGGGGTGCTTTATAGAGGAAACTGTGGTTTATAATCGGGAAGTGGAGAATTAGTAGAATCAGATAATACATCTTCAATAAATATTTGAATTTCATTCCAAGTGAATTGTAAGCCGTGAAGAAATTTTACATAGGTGAATAACACTATTAGCTTTAAGTTTAAAAAAAACAGCACTCTTGTTGTTGTGAAGATAATAAATAACTGGATAGGAAAAGGCTAGAGGTTGGGCATCAGTGGATATTTTTCAAAACTGAGGTAAGCAGATTTACGGGATACCTAGTACTAGATAATGTTGACTGGGGCCAAAGTGGAGAAGCTGGGAATGGAGAGAAGATGATAAATTTGGCAGCTGGTAGTAGAAACAAGATGATCTCCTGAACATAAATTATATAATGAATTACATGAGAGATATATGAAGGTGTGATAGATGAGAAGTAAATAAACAAAGGCTTTTGTGGATTTTTTTCTTTTTGCAATTGGACCAATGGCTACCATATTTTTTGAATATTAATGGATGTAGTTTGAGATGGAGTGGTCAAAGTGGTATTTTGAACATATTATACATTAGGTGCTCATGAAACATTTAGATGATCATTTAAGCAAGCTAATATTTAAGTCTGGAGCACGTTGTTGTGGGTAGGCTTGCTGTTCCTTGAAATACATCAACCTAGAGAGTAATATAATATTTTATTTTTCACCTAATTCAAGATATGATTTTCTTTTTTTTTTTTTTTCCTTTTTGTCTTTTTTCGTGTCCGGCAACGGATCGCAACCCTCAGTGTCATGCCCGTACCGGACCGGACCGGCAACAGGATCGCAGCCCTCGGTGTTGCACCCACACCTCGCTCAGCCAGTGAGCGGGAACCGGTCTGTATGTGGGATCCAAACCCTCGGCGGGAGTGCCTCCGCACTCCCAAGCGGCACACTGTAGCATGCGCCACTGGGCCGGCCCATGATTTTCTTTTTTTAATTTGAAACCATAATTTCTTATATGTTCCACATTCAAACTGAATTTTTTTCCACTGAAGGTCAAACCTCTGTTTATGAGATTTTGGTTTTCTTTCTATCCCCAGACAATATACTACAGAGTGTTACTTCTCAGTCTGCTTCCATGCTTCTTTCTTATCTGGCTTTCTCTTGGTCTGTAATTTTCAATATTCTGTCTGCAAATTTCATTCTCTCCATTTTCTCCTTTGGTAAACATATCACCTGTCAGACAAAGTTAATGTTTGCATAGTGTATCAGCTTCTCTGTTTCTGCTGAAACCTAGTGTGTTACTAGTCTTAAATTTTATTTGAAAATGCAACAATACGTTTTTAAAGCAACTGTTTAAAATCACAGATATTAAATTCATCATCTAATTTTTTTTTTCAAAATTCCAGGTTGCGTTGTTTAGTAATTTCTATACATACTTCCCCATTCTATGCACCCTCCTCTTCGACTTCCTTAGGTCAAACCTTCATTAACACTGTCACTGACTGTGGTATCCTTCCTAGTCACCGTGTCATGATTTTCTCAGATTGATTGGTAGCCATGACAGCCATTAAGACTCTTTAAGTAGTTAAGATGTGTAATCTGAGCTATTCTTTAGAATAATCAAAACACGCTTTGGCCTCATTTTCAATGCATCCCACAAGCAGGTCTTTATCACTTTTCTAGTCATGCACCTTACCAGACACACACTGAAGATCAAGTTTCATCTCTGACCCTCTGTGTCTTTACTCATGTTGATTCTTCTGAGAGTACTCCATTTTTTGAGAGAGGTAACATCGTATCTTAAAGAAGTTTGCCCACCATTTGCAGCAGTGGCCCCATGCATTCAGAAATGAAAATCAACGTAATGTCAAAGGAAACTAACAAACTTGAATTTTGTAGTATTAAGAATGTCACTTCTGGTCATTCTCTAAGGGATATTGGTTTTTTTTCATGAATACTAATAATTAACTTGGAGAATAGAAAGATAGGTGAGTTGTCTTTAAATTAGCACTAGTGTTTTATGGCTAATGAGGAACAATAATAGCCTTTTAAAAACTGTATTTTAAAATAGTTTCCATGCACTTATAATTTTCTTTTATTATAAAATTATAGAGGAAAGTAAAAATAAAGTAAATTTATTTTTGAACATTTTATTTTAGATCAGTTGAACTAAGGGCAAACCGGAAATAAATATTTTCTTCCTAGGTTTTATTTATCCCTTGATAATGTTATAGAGGTTTTGTCCTATCAAATCAGAAAAATGTTGACAGATTTAACTTACTGTAAGATACATGGTTTATCTAAACATGTTCCATTACTACACTGATTACATATTATGCTTCTATGTATATATATGCCTGTATTTATCAGATTTAACAGGTTATATTTCTGAGAAAATTTGTTATCTATAATTATATTCTCAAAAAAGGACATCATTTTGACGTTGGGTATTTATTTATCAGGTTCTCTTTCACAGGTTATCCTGTGAAGCATGCAATTTTTATTTCAGATAATACCGTAAAAATGGAACTATGAAATAAACAGTCTTAGTTAGCAAAACTCTAGTTTTGGTAGTGATATGATTTATCCAAGGATGTAAGACATAAAGATGCAAGTTCTAATCTGGAAACATAAATTGCTACACCATATTGACATCCTGTATTTCTAAAACAGTTATACATCTTGGAAACGAAGCTTGATTTAAGCATTATGTTGTTTGTTATGTCCTGTGTCTTCCAAAATGAAAGTGAAGTGGCTCATTTTAAGGTAT